TAACATGTGCTCAACCAAATAAGCACAGTTTTTAACAACCGATGAAGTAATAATTTTGTATTAAATTATTGATGTTTTATAAAAAGAAGAATATTAGTTATATTATATAAATACATATATATATATTATATTTTTTATTAATATTTATAAAAAATCGTAACAAGAGAAAATTGTTAATAAACAAAATTTCTCTCGTTGCATTTAGATTTAAGAGTGTGTTTCTTTCGAAGGTTTTGGGAAAATTTGAATTTGGATTTGATTTTTATTTGAATTTTGAGATGAGTTTGATGTTTTTTTTTTTTGTTTGTTTGGATTTTTTGTTGGAGTTTGAGGAGTTTTGATGTGTATTGATCTGGCGACTATAAATATAATAATATAAATGTACGGTAATTTGTATAATTTAATTATAAATTTATATTATATTTATATATATATTTTTAAATTTTTATTTATTTGTATTATAAATTTTTTATTCTCTACATAATGACATATATGTTGTATATATATTATTAAATTATAATTATTATAATATTTTTTTATATTTATAATTAAAAAAAAAAGGACAAACTCACAGAATCTGTCCCTCAAACCCTCCCTCTGGCCCAGTTTTGGGCTGGATCATTGTGCAAATACTGTTTATACAGTAGTCCAGCCCAGTTTGTTTACCGAGTGATCAAGCTCAAAATTGGGCTGGAGAAACAGATCCTAGTTTGGTACAGAGAAATGAAGCAGATAAATAGAAATTGTATCATTTTTTTTTTTGTTTGAGTCATATAATGGAACTTGAGAAATAAATCATTTCCATTTCTCTGCTTTCATTTTTCTCCTAGGTTGTGTTTGGTACAGAGAAATGAGGCCAGAGAAATAAAAATTGTATCATTTCTCTTGTTTGTTTGAATTAAGAGAAATGAACTTGAGAAATAAATCATTTCCATTTCTCTGTTTTCATTTCTCTCCCATATGCAGAGAAATGGAGAGAAATGATGTTGCAGTATATATATTTTTTAATTTTTAAAATTTTTTGTACTATTTAATTTTTATAATTTTTTAAAAATTATATTATTTTAATTTTACAAAAAACAAACTTAATTTATTTTTAAAGTATTTAATTTTTACGACATTTTAAGAAACTGTACTAAAATATAATTTTAAAAAACATCGTATATAATTTATAATTTTTTTTAAAAAAAATTTACCAAAAATATTTTTCATGAATTCTCATTCGTTAAAACTTTCTTTTTATCGTGTTAATCATTTATTTTTGTTTGCTCATTCATATATTTGCATTTTTTTTTAGATTTCTCAAATCAATTCTCTGTTTTATCAAATAATAGAATTAATTCTCATTCTCTACTCAATTCCATTTCTCTCAAATTCTATTCTCTACTATCATTTCTCTGCAATTCCATTCTCTGTACCAAACACCCCCAGAGAAATTGAGAGAAATGATGTTGTAGTATATATATATATTTTTTAATTTTTAAATATTTTTTATACTATTTAATTTTTATAATTTTTTTAAAATTATATTATTTTAATTTTACAAAAGAAACAAACTTAATTTATTTTTAAAATATTTAATTTTTACGATCTTTTAAGAAATTGTACTAAAATATAATCTTAAAAAATATTGTATATAATTTATAATTTTTTTTTAATAAAAAATTTACCAAATTTTTTTTCATAAATTCTCATTCGTTAAAACTTTCTTTTTATCCGGTTAATTATTTATTCTTGTTTGATCATTATATTTCTCAACTGAATTTTCTTGTTTTACCAAAAAAAAAAAAATAAATTAATTCTCATTCTCTACTCAATTCTATTTCTTTGCAATTCAATTTTATGTACCACCCCCTAAAAATTTATGTTTCTGGAGTCAATTTTTTAAAATAATAATTTAGATATGATATTTAATAAAATAAATTATAATGATGAAATAGTAAAAATAAATTAAAACAAAACTAGAAAATGATATACCCCAATTAGTTATATACATGTGGTTGTGGAGTAGGGTGATAGATTCCCCCAAGTAGGTTTATTCAAGAAAAGGGAAATGTTCCTTCAAGTGGATTTCCATGAGTATATATATAATGTTTTATTTATTTATTTCTTGAATTGCATATGTCAGATATATGAATTTGTTTGAATAAAAGTTTTTTAATTTAAGAAAAAAAATAAACTAATAAAAAATTAAGTATCTAATGTAATATTTTTTATTAATAAATTATTTTGAATCGGTAGTATCAAAAGTTTTAAAAATATCAATGTAAACATAACATATTTTTTATTTTCGTTTTTGAATAATAAGTATATTTTGCTATTTAGCGATCCGTCTTAGATGAATAGTTTTATGACTTTTGAATAAGGGATAAATAAAATACTGATATTATATTGATAGTAAATCACTACAAAAAAAAAATAGTATATTTGTAACGGAATTCCGTCCCTAAAGATCACGTAGCTAACATAATTCCATTATTAATTCCGTCTCTAATATCATTAGTAACGGAAAAAATGAATTTAAAGACGAAAAAATCTCGTTACAAAAATGATATTTTCTTGTAGTAAATTCTCTATTTGTTCTAGAGCTATAGTTTGAGTTGTGTTTGACAAGGGATTTAAGGAATATTGATATTATATTAATAGTGGGTAAAAAGTATGGGTAAAAGACTTTTTTGCCCTTGTGAGTGTATTAGTATAAAAAGTAGTGGCAATTATGTAATAATAATGAAAAAATAAAGATAATTTTATAGTAATATGGTTATTTATGGAAACGAGACTATTGTTTCACGGACAAAAATAGTAAACAAGACTAGGGAGTATAAAATATTGGTTAAAAATATTTTTTACCCTTCTAAATATGTATGTTAATTTAAGTGTACAAAATAGTAATATGTGTATAACAATAATAAAAAAACAAAACTAGTTTTATAAATTTATATTGGCTGTTTACTTGTGAGATTTTAGTTTTGGGTTTTGATTTTGAATAGTAAAATTTTGAATTGAAATAATTGTTTGATATGATATAAATATGTGTTGATGTGATACTTTGAATACAAAATTAGATTTTAGTGTAATAAAATAAATAAAAATTGAGTGTTTGATTTGATATTTTTGAATGGAAAAAAAGTGGAATAGTAAAATCAGGTGTAAAACCTGACAAGTATAGTAAAAAATGACTAGTGCTTTCACACCAAGTCGATCACTCTTTACAAGATAATATTTTCTAGTGATTAAATATATCGTGTGCCGATGATCGATATATAATTTTTTCTTTATTCACCAAATTTATTCATTTATTTGTAAAAATATAAAAAAATTAGCACATTTTTTTGTAAACAAAAGATAGTACCCTCTACTTCTCGCTTACCGTGTCCACTTTTCTATCTCCGTCTGTCCCGCTCATTATGTTACTTTCATTTTTTGAAAAAGAATTAGATATTTTAATCTCATTCTAAATTTTTTAATGTTTAATTTTTTTAACTTCAATTAGACTAATCGTATATCTTCGTCTTAATCTAAAATTATTTTTTATTATACAATAATTATTTTTACAAATATATTTTTAATTATTTACTATTTATATTATACCTAAATTTTCGTGTTTACTGTAAAAGGGACATCGTACTCGAGAAGAGTGGAATAATAGCATTTTTGTAATAGTAATATGTTATTGCTACAAGTTTTAGGGTCTTTTTTGTTTTGCAATTGGAACTAGTTACACTGATTCTATTTACTTAATTATTTTAATCTCATTTTTTTTTTAATTTTTTAAAAGCATATTTATAATACTATCCTTTTTAAATAAATAAATATATTTATATACATTTAAAATTTCTTATATTTTATAAATTAATTTGTATAATTTTATTTATTTTCTATTATATAATATGTATATAGAATAAACTTTATCGAAGTATATATAAATTTAAAATTTATTTTTAATCCAACATATATTAAATTATTTTTAAGTATCCCACATAAATAAAAATATTGGGGAATCCCTTATTAATAAAGGATTTCGATTTTACGTTACTAAAAAAATAATATTTCATTTGTCTCGTAAGAAAGGATATATTTTTCTATTGTTTGTCTCAAAACAAGAATATTATTTTCTATTTTTGTCCGTTCCAAAATAAGAATGCAGTATTCTTAATTTAATATTCGTACTATCTATCTAACATAATTAATACTCTTAGAATTTTTAATAAATTATACAAATATCATTACTTTTATATCACACAATCTAATAAAAATATTCTTATCTTTTTCACTATAAATTAATATAATACTAATATTAAAAAATATACATGTAAAAAGTAAATGTTACTTCTTTTTTTTTTTCCCTAAAAGAGAGGTACTAATAAAAAAAAAACCCAAATCCCCAACCAAATGCACTATTTAATGATTTTTTTTTTTCAAAACTCTTTTCTCACTTATATTTTCATGCTCTATCCGTCCCACATCATTTATCTCTATTTTTTATTTTTATCCATCTCACATAACTTGTCCTTTCTATTTTTGAAAATATAATTATACAGTTTAATCGCATTTTAAATTTTAAACTTTATAATTTTCTTAATTTAAATTAAACTATTTACTTATCTTAATCTTAATCTATAATTATTTTTACTAAATAATAATTATTTTTACTAATACACTTCTTAATTACTTACTAATTATACTTTACCTAAATTCACGTGTCTGCGGTAATCCACCCATATTCCGTGGGACGGAGGGAGTATTTGATTAGAACTATATTTTATTTTTTATTTTTTCACTAATTATTCCTAAACCCTTATTATTATTATTATTATTATTTTGAACCTCAGTCTAAGGTAGCTTAACCACTTAAGTTACAATTCCTTGTAATTTTTCTTAAAGGCTTCAATATGAGTTTGCCTCTATTAATAAAAATTGATTGAACTAATTAATATTAATTTTAAAAATATATATTAATATATGTTTATATATGTATAATAGGCCATTGATTTCACTCATAATATGTAATATTTTTGTTATTCAATTATAACACCATACTTGCCTCCATATAAATGTATTATTATTTCTCACATACATATGTTTTATTTCATAACATTACATGCAAAATAAATAATAACAAGCATATTGTGTGTGGGACTAACTAGTTTTCATACAACCTTGAATTAGGCGGTGTGGTATGAGTCCGAGTTCGGGTCTAATTTTCAAGACATTATAAGTTATTACACCGACGGGGCCAGAAAAGACGACCTCATCGTCTTCTCCCGCCGGTGCCCGTCTCTCTCTGACAATTGAAATAAACGACGGCGACGGGGGACCCGAGATTGTAGAGCTCGGCAAAGTTCTTGGTGTTGAAATTCTGCCGCCACGCCGGAGCGTAAACCGTCTGCCGACCCAACTGCTGGAAAAGTACGAAGATGAAGCGGTGGATTCCCATCGACGGCCGTGGGCTCTCGTAGCACATGATCTCGTGCCCGAAGCTTGCGCCCGTCGTTGCCGGAATATCCGTCACCAACCTACACAAAAATCATATCCAAATAAAATACTGCCTCTGTTACTTATCAAATGGGTCATTTTGAATTTTATAGTAGATTGAGAAATAATAATATTTTATTGGTCAATGGAAGTATATAAGAGATTTTGACAATTTTGTCATTTGATTTGTTGTATGAAGTAATTTTACGTGTAAATTTGTAATTTAGATAAAAGTTATAGATATTTTGGTATTAATATATTATTACTTTTTATAAAATAGAAAAGCTATATAAATACTAGAAATAATACTAGAATAGATAGTAAAAAAAGTGAGACAGAAGGTATAAATATTACAAATAATAAAGACTGTGAATTTTTACATTATAAAATAAAAATAATATTATCCAAATAAAGTAAGTATAGAAAAATTAAAAATGGTGAATTTTCACGATATAGAATAAATAAAATTGTCCATATTTAGGGAAATTATATTGTATGTGAGGTTTCACGATTGAAAATAAATAAATAAATAAATTACAAGACAAAAACAACGTATTCAATATCGGGTCAATAGGGTTTGTTTTCTTTGTATTTTTTGTCTTTAGTTAGTTATTTGATTTTTGAACTTTTTTTTTTCGGAAATATATATTGAACACTAATTTTTTTTTTTTTATATATAAAATTCAATATTAGGTAATAGGGTTTGTTTTCTTCGTATTTTTTCTTTAATTATTTAATAATTTGATTTTTGAATTTCTTTCCAAAAATATTATATTGAACACTAATTTTTTTTAATATATAAAAAATTACATTTTAAAAATAATTTCACTTATAAAACACAAAAAATGATCAAATAAACCCTAATTTTCTCTCTTCATTTTTACTACAAAGTTTTTTCCTTTTGAATAAAATAAATTTTATTTAGATATAGGTTTTCAGAGTTTTAGAAAATTTAAAAAATCAGTATTTAATATGATATTTGTGATATAAATTATATTTTAGAATTTTGAAACCTTTTATGTAATGTTTAATGAGAGATAATAAGTATTTAAAGTGATATAGATATTTATAATATAGATAATACAATAAAACTTTCAAAATTATGCATGTAAACATAACTACTTTTATTTGTTTATACAAAACATTACATTCAATCACTATTTCACACATATATCTATATATATATATATATATATATATATAACACAACCAAAATAAAACCCTACAAAAGACTTATAAACCAAAACCCAACCAAGATCACATGACAAAAAGTGACAATCCCACCCACAAACAAAAACACTATATATATAAATATTTAGAGAGAGAGAGAGAGAGAATAGAGAGAGAGGGGCAAAGTTGGAATAATAATATATATATAAATATGAAAATACATGGAGTAGGTACGTACCAATGCAAGTATTCTCTAAGACTAGGATCACTAGGGCTTGGAGCATCAGGATCCACCATAACCTATATTCATACATAAAATATAAATCAACATTACAAAAATTTATATCGATACAATACAAATACAATACATAAACTGACACTACATGACAATAAATTCAGATCTCATTCTACCATCGAGAACTCAACATAAGAAGTATATAATTTCAATTAACATTGCCTATTTGATTTTTCATGTTCTCGTAAACCCTAAATCAAGGCTCTGACAATTAGCGTATGCATATATATATATATGTATGTATATATTACCAAAGTGTAGAAGGTTCTTAGATCGTGTCCCCCGATATCAACCCTAGGAGGGTTTGCGACCATGGAAGGGCTAAGCTCTCCGCCATTGTTAACCTCTCGGTTGTTGTAAACAACTCTAAGAGGGATCGATCGAATGAACGGATCCAAAACATCTCCTATCACTCTTCCCACCACCAATGGATCTCTATCCCTAATTGGCATCAATATATGTATGATATGTTTCAATTCAATCACAATATATACATATATCGTTCGATATTATCCAATGGATCGAAAGAAATACAAGTGTGGACGGATAGAAGGGATGTATAAATAGGGTTTTGAGAGTGGCCATTTATGGTGGGCACACAGACATCCAAAAAAGTTATATGTATATATATATGCATATATATATTATATAGACGATGTTGTCCTCTATAAAAAAGATATCTTAAATTATGTGATATGGTCATGATGATACGAGAAACAAGATTCTCCTATCCTTTTCAGATTTTTTATTTTTTTAAGTTTTGAAAGTATATAATTGATAAATATATTTGGGGGGATCAAGAATCCATATATATATATTGATACTTTTTGGGCCAACCCCATGCCAAGCTCAACCCGCAATTCAAAACTTTTTAACTCGATCTAGTTTTCTGACCCGATCCGACCCACACCTTATAACTCTCCCTTCCCTTCCCTTCTCATTAGAGACAGTGTGTGTATCGCGATTCAGTTTTCTCTCTGGTTTATCTTCATTGCCATTCTTCTCGGTAAGTTTGGGGGTTTTTTTCTTCGTCGAAATTGCAGTCGTTTTAGTTCGATTCCTTTGGTAAGTTGTTTATCTGGGTGTTCTTTTTGGGGTTTTGGGAAAAATCGGTCGATTAGAGTTTAGGGTTCTAAGATCGAGTCCGTTGGTTTGGGGTTTTGTTTGGAGACGGTTGGGTTAGTCCTTAAGTGTGAGTCATTAGGTTGTAGACTGAGCCTTCAAAATAGTTTCCCCAATCGTTTGTCGAGTCGCTTGGAAATCGCCGAAAGAGGATCCTTGCTGTTGTTCGTCCGCTGCCATTAGTCGCCGGAGAAGGGAGCCGTTCTTGTTGTACGCCACCCTTGCGCCTGTGATCGCTGATGCCTGGTCATTGCCGCTGTCCGGAGTTAGAAGATATAGGGAAGTGTTTTTGCTTTCAATCTTATTTTCTTTTTAAACAATAAATTGTGTTCTATGAGTTGAATACAAAGTTGAATCAATATCAGAGATTAGTAAAATTATTTTTGTTTGGAACACATTCTAGTTGATGTTGATTCTGTTATTTCATAGATTAGTAAAATTACAACAGTGGTATCAGAGCCAAATCTGTCAAACCATTAAGTTCGACAGAATCTTCGGGTAAATCGATCGTTGGTAATAGATCGATTTTGGTAAAAGGCTAAACCCTTCATTTTTTAATTCTTGGTGAAACTGTTGATTGCAGATTAGGGGCGTGTTTGACAATTAGCTGATTCAATTAGCTGATTTGACTAGCTGATTCGATTAACTGTTTGTATTAAAATGTTTGGTATAACAACTGTTTGATATTAGTTGCTTATACGTAAAATGACAATTGAAGCCATTTCTATTTTATTCTTATTTCTAATATATTCAATTATGTTCTTTTGAATTTAGAATGTTTAAAATTTTTTGTTATTAGTTATTGAAAATTGTAAAAGTGTTATAAAAAGATTTATTTTTATTAAAGTTAAATTTTAAAAATAATATATTTTTATTAAAATATATAAATAGTTTTTTTTATTGAAAATGATTAATATAAAATAATAAATTTTTCGTGTATATATTTATTATGTTAGTTATCGATTAGTTCATTATATTTATAATTTTCAATAAATTTAATTTATTTAATTTATTTTTAGTATAAAATTTATATAATGTAATTTTAATAAAAAAATAAATTATTAATATTTATATTTTTTTATTTTATGTTGATTTAAATAAATTTATATATTTTACAATTAAAATAATTTTTATATAACAATTAATTATTTTAAATTTATAAAAGTAAAACTATAATATAATAAAATATTCTAATATAATTAATAAATAATCAAAATATATTTATTTGTATAAAATGTATAATAAATTTTTAAGGGCATATAAGGAATAAATTTTTTTTTACAGAAAAAGCTATTTCAAAACGCTGGGTAAGTTAGCTTTTCAGAAATTAGCTTTTTGGATCCAAAAAGCTATTCCAAAAAGCTAATTTACCAAACACTTAAATTAGTTTTTTGACTGGTCAAACAGCTAAAAGCTGTTCAATAAGCTAAAAGTTCTTCAAAAAGCTATTTGCCAAACACCCCATAAATTAGGATTTTGGTGAATATGCTGATTGCAGAGATTGATTGTGTAATCTTGAAAATCTTGTTTTCTTTGTTGCTCTAGATTGTTGTTGTTGCAAGGCAGAATCTTCGGGTAAATCGATCGTTGTTAATAGATCGATTTTGGTAAAAAGCTAAACCCTTCATTTTTTAATTCTCAGTGAAACTGTTGATTGCAGATTAGATTAGAATTTTGGTGAATCTGCTTATTGCATAGATTGATTGTGTAATCTTGAAAATCTTGTTTTCTTTGTTGCTCTAGATTGTTGTTGTTGCAAATCTTGTGATTGATTGGTAATTAATTGCTTGAATTGTGTTTTTGAGTGATTTCATTTGTGGACAAATTTTTCTTTTAAATGACTGCTCCTATGGGTACTTTTTTCAATATGCAGCAGTTTGATGGAAAAATAGATTTTACTATTTGGAAACAAAGAATGAAAAGTGTTTTGATTACTCAAAAACTTTCTCGAGCAATAGATTGTACGTTTGATGATGATACACCTATGTAAAAACGTGTTAAAATGGATGAATGTGCATGTGCGTGTATTGTGGTGCATTTAACTGACAATGTGCTTAGGAAAGTAGGTAAGTTTTTTAGTGCAAAACAATTGTTGGAGAGGTTAGATATTTTGTACACGGAAGTAACTTTGTCAAATAAGTTGTTTTTGCTTGAAAATTTTTTCCAATTCAAACTAGACAGTAAGAAGAGTGTTGATGATAATATAGATATTTTTACTAAACTAATTCAAGATATAAAGTTAAGTGGAGATCAATATATTGATGAATATTCATCGATTGTGCTTTTGAATGTCATTCTCGATTCCTATAGTGATGTTAAATCCGCAATTAAAAATGGTAGAGATAACATTACTTTATATATAGTAATAAATGGTTTAAAAAGCAATGAATTAGATTTAGTAGCTAATAAATCAATTGGAAATTCAAGTGGCGAAGTTTTGCATATAAAAGGTCGAGTTTTCAATAGGAATAACAAAAACAACAACAATAGAGATAATCAATCATCGAATAACAATAAAAAGAAATATAGAGAAAACCTATATTCTTAGCTACTTTGTGATCGACGTGGAATTTCTTGGTATGATATATGCTTGTCTTTGTGTTTCTATGTGTTTAAGCATGTGATAGGATCCTTTAGTATAAGGGTAGGCTATGTCTTTCTTTATGGTGTCATGACATGTATATACTTTGTGATTAGTTCCAAGGTGGAGTTCGCATGTTGCCTCATTTTTTGCATTAAGTTGTCCTTTTTTTGAATGAGCTATTAGTTTCTGCAGGATTAATGTTTGCTCGTGAGTGCAGTGTTTACTTAACGTTTGTTGTGAGTGTAGATTCATTGTATATGAGTGAATCTTCTCGGGAAATTTCCATGCGACTTGATTAGGCGAAAAAGGTCACTAGGCTGTGATGCATTCCTACGGGAGCAACCATCGGTAAATGACTTGGGCAAAAAGGGTGGAGAATGTTGATACTTTTTGGCCCAACCCAATACCAAGTCCAACCCGCAACCCAAAACCCTTTAACCCGACCTGGTTTTCTGACCCGACCCATACCTTATAACTCCCCATTCCCTTTCCTTCTCGTTAGAGACAATGTGTGTATATCACGATTCAGTTTTCTCTCTGGTTCATCTCCATCGCCATTCTTCTCGGTAAGTTTGGGGGTTTTCTTCTTCGCCGAAATTGCAGTCGTTCTAGTTCGATTCCTTCGGTAAGTTGTTCATCTGGATGTTCTTTGTGAGGTTTTGGAGGAAATCGGTCAATTAGAGTTTAGGGTTCTAAGATCGAGTCCGTTGGTTTGGGGTTTTGTTTGGAGGCGGTTGGGTTAGTCCTTAAGTGTGAGTCATTAGGTTGTAGATTGAGACTTCAAAATAATTTCCTTAATTGTTTGTTGAGTCGCTGAAATCGCCGAAAGAAGATCCTTGCCGTTGTTCGTCCGCTGCCATTAGTTGCCGGAGAAGGGAGCCGTTCTTGTTGTATGCCACCTTGCGCCTGTGATCGCTGATGCCTAGTTATTGCCGCTGTCCGGAGTTAGAAGAAATAGAGAAGTGTTTTTGCTTTCAATCTTGTTTTCTTTTTAAACAATAAATTGTGTTCTATGAGTTGAATACAAAGTTGTATAATATCTAGTGCTTGTCTGTTGTTTTTGTTTGGAACACATTCTAGTTGATGTTGATTTTGTTATTTCACATATTAGTAAAATCACAACAATATCTATTATGATGCTTATTATGAGTAATTATCATTATGATAATTAGCCCAATCAATATATAAAAGAGAGACCGATAGTAAGTAATAGTTCATATTTTACTTATCTCTTGTGTAAACATATCTCGTAATGGATTATTGTCATGTGTTATTGCATTTGTCACGTTTATATTATATTGGTATAAATTATTTGCTACATATTTATGATATATATGTTGTCTACACACTAGCTAATTAAAAAGAAAAAAAAACCCTAATAAATACACTATGCATCTATATATCATTTCTTGAAAAGTATAAAATGTGTATATAGTACAACAATTATGTTTAAATATATTTTGAAATTATTTTGGTGCATTGGATTATTTTGATAATAATAAAATATGAAGTATAAAATAAATATTGATGATGTATAATTAAACTACATGTTAAATAAATATGATCACTAATGCAAAACTAAAATTGAAAACATAAGTTAACATAGTAATGTAGAAAAAAAAAATTCAAAAAAGTGACATAAGAGACTTTAAAAACCCTTTAAAACTATAAACATACAAATGGATTAAACAAAAATAGTTGATGTTATGGCGAAAATAATATAGTATTACACAGTATATATTTAATGACAAATTAAACCCTAGTCGTTACAAAATTAATTCGATCTATGCTACACATGTCATTTTTTCTTTCTCGACTTTAGATCAGGCCTAGTTATAACTAGTT